TACCCCTACCCCTAACCCTAACCCTTCCCCTATCCCTACCTCTACCTTTAACCCTAACCCTACCTCTACCCCCAACCCTAACCCTACCCCTATCCTATACCCCTACCTCTACCCCTACCCGTATCCCTACCCTTAACCCTACCCCTACCCCTAACCCTAACCCTTCTCCTATCCCTACCTCTACCCCTACCCTTAACCTTAACCCTAACCCTACCTCTACCCCCAACCCTAACCCTACCCCTATCCTATACCCCTACCTCTATCCCTACCCGTATCCCTACATCTACACAGTGCAAACCATAGTGCTGCAAATCAATGTTCCAACTCTGTCGTTGTGAGAACTCCAGGCTTGTTCATCATTTCAGTGGAAACACATTTTCTCTGAGTATGTATACTTGGCTGACCAATCTGCAGCAGATCTAGTTCCAGATTGAGGAAGAAAATCAGACAAAACATCCAGACTCTAATGAGCAGCTGAAATTTGTTTTCAGCAAAAATGGAAAGAGAAACTGAAAAATTCATTTCTCCCAGTTTCCAGACCGTTGAAAGTGTTGAGAGGAGTTGAACCCAACCATGACTCTATCTCACATATCGTGACTGTGCATCAAGTTCAAGTTTAGTTCTAGACAAGTGGACTACTTATGTATTTGTGTTATTGCATCCTGGACGCATCCCTCCACAGTATCACCGTCACCGCTCTTTAAGAGAAAGAGGAAGTTCCTCTTGTTTTTGCCAAAAGATGAGCTGACTTTTCCCTTTTCCCATCTGCTCTAGAGGGACGGGGCAGTGTTTTGTAATTCAGACTTTGTTTACTGTTTCATTTCTACATGTTGAAGTCCCACATCTGACAGGCTACATAAATGGATTTCTAGAAAATCTGCATTACTCAGTCGTGGCAAACCAGATTTTCTTTTCCCCCTATTGAGCTAAGCACAGATAGACTCTGGAGACAGTGGAAAAGGGTCAGTCCACAGTATTTGTCTTCACTACAACAGCTCAGTACAGGAACGGTATGTATCTTTTTCTATTTTTTTGAAGTTCACTGAACTGTGTGTAGAGAAACAAGAAACTATTACAGAGTATGAAATGGCCGCGGGCCAGAGCTGAGGGTGAGAGTGAGGGGGGGGGAATGTGTGAGGAATGGCTGCTAAACGGAAACAGCTGCTTCACTAAAACTTACCTCAAACTTTCCCCTTTTCTCCAGCGGCTCCACTTGGGCCTCGTTCAGCATCGCGGCGTTGCTCTTTGGGACGCTTTCTCCCTCCATCTCCTCCACCACCATCACCGTCTCCCACTTCCCAAAGCTGGTGGCGGGGAACATGTCCGACCTCAGGCTGTCCCCGAAATACACAACCTGCAGGGCGAGGGAAAAAGTGACTTTTATAAAAGGTCTTTTATACTGTAGACTTTTTGTCATCAGTGAAAGAACAACTCACCGGCAGAAATAAAAGAGCTTGTGGGGAAAAAAAGTATGTTTTGGTATGACATTTCAAGGGGGAACTAAAACAGCATCTATGAGTGAAATAAAAATATGGGGGAAAAATCATTTAGAAAATTCTAATAAAATGTATCAAAGAACGTTTTAAGGTCAATTAAATGATAAAACATGAGGTAAATAAATGTGCCGCTTGAAACAAAGGTATACATTTGGAAACTAGAGTAGAAATGGGTTGGGGTGGGTTTGTCTATTGTTCTTTTCTTTTTTTCTTTTGTTGTTTCTTGTGTTTAATGTGGACAATTTACCAAAATAAAGTGATTGATTGATTGATTGAAATGTACAAATTTGTCTCATTTTTAAAATCAATTTTCAAAATTGAATGTGCATTGGTTTATTCATATTTCTGTCAGTTTCAGTCCTCCATAAGATTTAACAGCTTCTGGCCATCAGAAGTGGGAACCACTTGTTTGTAGCTCACGCATGTGTCTGTGAGATGTTACAGAAATGGACCCTCCCAACAGAAGTGAGAGGGCCGTAAAGAGGATGTAAGACATTCCAGTAGCCGTGTCTCATCCCTCCCCCTCACAGAGCTGTGCGCCCCCCCCCCCAAATGAAACAAACAGACGGGAAAACTGGGGCGGCGGGGCTAGCTCTGCATGAATCACATTTCCAGTGAACGCAGCCTGGCCCCAGCCCCCCCGAGTTCCCCCCCCCTGCCCCGCAAACCCTCAAACTCTCTGATCGGCAGTAGTTCTGCTAGACTCATGGGATCAGTGTAAATATTTACGGAGCCCATGATTCCAGCACATGCAGTTCATCAGAAGAAGAAGTTGTTGTTATTCCAGATCAGACTGAAGCACAAAGAGAGTCCGATGGCACAAATCCCAGGTTTAATCAGCCCTGGAAGAGGCGTACAGAGCCACAGTAACAGGAATACTTATTGACACAGAGACCAGTTCCCTACCGTAGTTTGACCAAACCCTAAAAACTAGTGGAATCCATTCATTCTGAACATAACTCATTCCGACACTCGGTCTTAGATGAGTGGTTCCGACCCCGACCACATGACAGGACTGCTTCCTGCTATGGGTTCATCCATGTGTGTGGGTCAAAGACCTGTGGTCAACACGTGCCATGCCCCCCCCCCCCCCCCCCCCCCCCCCCCCCCCACCTCCAACCCCTAGCACACAAGACGCTAGTCTCACACTACAAGTAGTAACAACATTCACAAAGGAGAAATCCATTACTGTTCCTTTTTCACCACAACTGCCTGCACATTTAATTACATTACTAAAAGAAAATAAAAGGCAGGAATCAGGATTCCTGATGCCTCTAAAGCTTCTCAGTGCCGGTCACTCAGCTGGTCAGATGACACTATCCAAAATCTTTTGTTGAAGTACATATTCTGCCTGGGTAATAATAATAAGTATGTCAACAGTAATAAACTGAGCTTTCACTGTTTCAAAGTGCTCCCTTCAAAGCAAAAAAAGTAAAAAAAGAAGGCAATCAAGACCAGACAAGTTCCAGCTTCCTCACCCCCCCTGCTCAGGGGGAGGGGGGGGGGGGGGGGGCACTGACCTGCATGTTTTAGATGTTTCTGGGCTCTAACTGACTAAAACGAAACAGCCCTCCGCCTGTTTGTCACAAACCTGCTAATGAGCCATTCATGTGAACCAGGTGTGTTGCCTCAACAAACCTCCACCTTCCAATCCCATCAGACGGGATTGTGGGTAAATGTACACTGCATCCTTTCTGCAGAAACACGAGAAGTGTTGAAAAGACACTATTTCTTCCACAGATTAGAACTCCTGAGTTATTTCATACAGTGAATACAATCAAATGTTGTTGTTTTTTATTGACAAAGATAAAGAAAAAGTTACGTGCTAATATCTTTTGAAATCCTGAAAAGTGTGAGTGTGAGTGTGAGTGTGTGTGACGGGGTCCTGTCAGCCTGGTGGCGACCCCATCACTCAGCTCTGTGCTCAGACTGAGCTGTAATCTTCCCTGAATGCCTCCATTCAGCTCACCTGTGTTAAGTCCTGTCAGGTGAAAGTGGGGAGAAGTAAAAGTGCCTCGGGTCATCCCGGGGGGCTGTTTAAAGAAGCTCTAAGTGCCGGTTGACACTGGAGTCTGCAGGAGCTTCTCTCCGGGGGCAGGCTAACAGAGGGAGCATTGATAGGAGGAGGAGAAAGAAAGGGGCCAGAGGCTGTGGAGTTTCAACAGTTGTCTTTGTTTCATCCCTTTCTGCTGTTAGATGTAAACTGCCTGAGTTTTTGCCTGACAAAGCTGAGTGTAAAACCCTGAAAGCAAACAGAGGGAGTGATGATCATCGTGTTCTTCCAGGTGAGTGAACTCTTTGGAAACATTTCTATTTCGGCCTCCCAGAGTGTAGGGTTAAAGCTTAGGCACAATGGAAGGATTGGGAAGCATCCATCTTTTTGAATGCATTGTTGATTTTGTGCAATTAACTACATTTCAAAGAGTGAAAACAGGTATGCAGCAGATGGACAAAATATAAATGTGCCTTCTGAAACTATCGATGAGGTGGTGGAGAATACAGATTTGTTTTCACGGTCAAGTTCTCCTTAATTCCTGTTAGGAGTCATGTTTGTCAGA